AAATATATATATATTTGTATTTATGTGTATATATATGTATTTATATATATATGTATGATGTATGTTCCCGGTTCTCTGTTCGGTGCCCCTTGCCCCAATGGTATGGTATCCCCTCCGCCAAAAAAAATCGATCATTGGCATGCTATTTGCAGCATTTGAGAGTCACAGCCTCCCATTTGCATGCTATGTGCAGCATTTCAGAGCCACAACCTTTGATTCGCACCCTGTTTGCAGTATTTGAAAACCACATGCTACCTACATACGACCTACGTGCTGTCCATATAGTAACATATAATATCTATATGTTTCTCCTCTTCCTGGAATACCTATATACAAGCCATAGAATATCTTTATACTATTCAGCAGTTGCCTATCATGTATTACCTGCTTTATATCCGTACATAGAACCTATATATTACTTATAGCGTAGCTATATAACACGTATGTTTTTTTAAAGACACAAATATCCACTATTATCTATACTCATACGCAGCATCGAAAACCACCAGAACCCCCACCCCCCACCACAGGGGGGAGGAGGCAACCACATACACTATCTAATCTAATCCATCATACTTAAACTGTACTACCAAAAAATAAATAGCAACGACCCCAAAACCCCAAGCTACAATCATACCTTTATATATGATATATATATATATGTATATATAGATACATATATATATATAATTAATATATGTATTAATGCGTAGTAAACAATCGTGCAGATAGATAGATAGATAGATAGATAGATAGATGGATGGATAGATAGATCGATAGATAAGAAAGAAAGAAAGATACATAGATAGATAGAAAGATAGATAGAAAGATAGATAGAAAGATAGATAGATAGATAGACAGATAGATAGATAGATCGATCGATAGATAGATAGATAGATAGTGAGATGAGATGAGATGAGATGAGATGAGATTAGATAGACAGATAGACAGATAGACAGACAGACAGACAGATAGGCAGATAGACAGACAGACAGATAGATAGACAGACAGACAGACAGATACAAATAGTCTGTACATTCAATACTCCAGTAGTACCGCACAAGCGGCAGAGGAAGTTCCAAGGATAGGAAGCTATAGGAGAGGTGAATTGTTGTGATGCGTGGATGGCAGAGCAAATCTTCTGATGGACCAAAAGGTGGTTGGAGTTGCGCTTTTTGCGTGGTTGCAGTGGTCACTTCACCCACCACTGCTGGATGTAGCGTGGCGTAGTGTAGTGCAGTTGTAGTTGCAGTTGTAGCGTAGTGTAGTGTAGTTGTAGTTGTAATGTGGTGTTGTTGTAGTTGCAATTCTAGGCGCAGTTCAAGCTGCAGTTGCAGCTGCAGTTGTAGTTGTAGCTGTAGTTTATGTTGTTGCAGTTGTACTTGTAGCTGGAATGTTGTAGTTGCAGTTGCAGTTGTAGTTGTAGCTGTAGCTGTAGTAGTTTTTGTACTTGTTGCTGTTAGCTGTTGCTGTTGTTGCTGTTGTTGTTGTTGTTCTTGTTGTTGTTGGTGGTGGTGGTGTAGCTGTACCTGTTGTGTAGTTGCGGTTGTGGTTGTAGTTGCAGTTGTAGTGTAGTGTAGTGGAGTGGGGGTGGAATGTAGTGCAGTGTAGTGTAGTGCAGTGACAGTTATAGTTGTAGCTGTAGCTGTAGTTGATGTTGTTGTAGTTGCGGTTGTAGCTGTAGTTGTAGTTGTAGCGCAGTGGTAATGTCATGCTGTGAAGTGGAATGTAGTAGTGTAGTCGGCTTGAGGTTGTCGTTGTGGTTGTAGTGTCTTGCAATGCTGTACTTGGAGTTGGATTTGAGGTTGTCGTTGCAGTGTGGTGAAGTGCAATGTCCTGTAGTCTAGTGGTAGTTGCGGCTGTAGTTGTAGCTATTTATGTAGCTGTAGGTGTAGCTGTAGCTGTATCTGTAGTAGTTGTAGTTGTAGCTGTAGTTGTCGAAGGAAGTTTAGCAAACTTCCGACAATATGGACAGATGAAAAGCAGAGATGGGAAGAGACAGAGAAGAGAAGAGGAGAAGAAAAAAGATCAAAAAAGAGAAAATCTCAGAAGAAAGAAGATCCAGGTGCACAAAAAGGTAGGAAAGTCGCGAAACACTGTTTTTTCCAATGATTTGTGGCTCCGGAGGGTCGAAAAATAGGCTCGCTAAAGCGGCGGAGCCAGCTGGCCAGATGAGAGATTAAAAATTGCACGTCGTTGTGGCGCAAGGCACATTTCGAAGTGAAAATGTAGAAAACACCACATGTTCGGACTGCTTTTGGAAGTTGAATGTCGAAAAAGTGCTGGGGCGAAGCACATTTCGAAGTCAAATGTACAAAGCACACCATGTTCGGACCACTTTTGGAAGTTGAGATGTCGAAAAAGTGCACGCCGTTGTGGCGCGAAGCACATTTCGAAGTCAAAATTGCAAAAAACTGACGGGTACGGAGCACTTTTGGGCGTTCAGATATCCTTTTGCGTGGCAGGCGCAGGGGATTGTGCACCTTGTCAAAAGTGAGCAAAACGTGAGGGTTTTCTAACATGTCCAAAAATGATGGCAAGCGTGGGACATTTGAAGGGGATCTGGAAAGAGATGTTAGGAGGTGTGGGCGCTGATTTCCTGAGAGAGGTTGCGTTTTCGAGCATCAGATCTTCAGGTTTGCTGAGATGATCTTGCGTGACAGGTGTAGCACTTCGTATGACCTGGCCTCACTTTTTCGTGGCAAGCGCAGTACTTTAGACAGGTGGAGTGGAAAAATCGCAAAACGCATTGGTACGAGGCTGCCAGCTCTGCACTCAACTTTCCATTTTTGAAAGAAGTCTCGCAGAATTGCTTCGTTTTTGATGTTGTCAACGTCAAAAAATGAGGAAGTCTCGCAGAATCGTTTCGTTTTTGACGTTGTTAAGTTCAAAAAATAAGGAAGTCTCGCAGAATTCTTGTGTTTTTATTCGAAAACTGAGGAAGTCTCACAGAATAGCTTCGTTTTCAAACTTGCAGATAGACAGATAGACAGATAGATAGATAGATAGATAGACAACTACAACTGCGACTACAACTACAAGTACCACTACACTACACTACTACTAGAATTACAAGTACAAATATACTACGCTGCATTACACAACACTAATTACACTACACTACGCTAATTACATCTAATTACACTACACTACACTAATTACATCTAACTACACTACACTACACTAATTACATTACAACTACTACAACAGCTACTACTGCTGCTACTACTACTACTACTACGACGACCACCACCACCACCACCACAGCTACAACTACAATTACAGCTACACTACGTTACACTACAATACAATAATTAAACTGCAGTACATTACAGCTACAAATCCAAATACAACTACAACTACACTACATTGCACAACACTACACTACACTAGTTACATTACATTGCGCTAAAACTGCAACTACGACTACATTGCACTAAACGACACTACACTACAACTACAACTACACTAGTTCACACTCCAATACACAAGACTACACTACACTATACCACGCTACAGTACACAACACTACAATACACTACACTAATTACACCACACGACAGCTACAACTGCAACTGCAACTACACTAGACTAATTACACTACATTACAGCTACAACTTACAACTACAACTCCACTATACTACAACTACAACTACAACTACAACTACAACTACAACTGCACTAGACCACACTACATCCAGCAGTTGTGGTGAGGTGACCACTGCAACCATTGCAACCACTCCAGAAATCACAACTCCAACCACCTTTCGGTCCATCAGTGGATTCGCTCTGCCATCCGTGAGCCTATTATTGAAACTTCCGCCACCGCCGTGCGCGGTACAACTGGTAATTGTTGTTGTTGTTGTTGTTGTTGTTGTGGTTGTGGTTGTGGTTGTGGTTGTGGTTGTGGTTGTGGTTGTGGTTGTGGTTGTGGTTGTGGTTGTGGTTGTTGTTGTTGTTGTTGTTGTTGTTGTTGTTGTTGTTGTTGGAGTGTGGTGCGGTTGAACGTCGAGAAGTGGTCCGAACAGGACATTTTGACTTGGAAATGTGCTTCGCCCCTCAAGGTTCAAAAGTGCTCCGGAGCTGAGGTGTTTTGTACACTTTGACTTGGAAATGTGCTTCGCGCCACAACGGCGTGCAAAAGTGCTCCAGAGCTTACGTGTTTTGTTCCTTTTGACTTGGACATGTGCTTCTCGCCACAACTCTGAGAATGGTGTCTCTTTACTATTTTGACTTCAAAATGTGCTTCGCGCCACAACGGTGTGCACTTTTCCACATCTTAACTTCCGAGCCTGTGGTGCGTTTAGCATTTTGACTTCGGAACCTCCTCCGTGATCTCTCATCTCCCCAGACCCGCCGCTTTAGCGGGCCTACTTTTCGAGCCTCCGCGAATGATGAACCGCAAACAGATGCAAACAGCATCATTGACAACTCTTCTCAGTCCCAACGCTCAGCCAGCTCCAGAAGACAAGTTGGAGCCACAAGTTTGGGGCTTCTCAAACTTGGTGACCTTGACGACTTGGGATATCCTTACCAACATACACCATTTCGTGGATACATCGGAATCAATATTCGTGGACCCTCCGACACAACACATGAAAAAAAGACTCCAGCTGTTTGGACTGGTTCTATCATTGGCTCCGCTTTCAAGCCATCTCAGATTTCTTGAGTTTCACCTCCGAATGGCTGGTTTCAATATTGAAATTTGCAGGTAAGCCTTTCTCCAAATACCCGTAGACTTTGGCTGGATTGCCCCTTGATCAATACTCTCACAGGATACAAAGCAACAAGACTTGCAACAGTTGTCTGGCTTGAGCAAGGGATATATGAACCGAACCAACTGTCCTTTCGGCTGTGTCTTCCTGGTCGAATGAGACAAAGGGAAGGACATCTTTGCACAATCCCGGATAATGGCCAAGGCCAAGGTTTCTAAACACCATTCTACTCCATCCGCTGTATCCAATTGGTCTAAAAGGTAGACTACATAAATGTCACCCCCTTCACTTCCTCTTCTCTTCACATCCAACCTTGATATCCTTGATATCCTTGGTATCCTTGGTCAGCTCCAGGCGTTGGCCACGCGTGAGCCGTGTCTCCATCTTAACCTCTGGCAGCATCCGTCTGCGCAGAGCCTTGCCATCCCTTCGCCGAAAGCCAGCCGAAGGTTCCGCAGTTGGATGACCCAACCAGCGGTCAAAACTCCCCTGCGGAAGCGCACCAGGCGTGAACCTGGGCACAACGATGATAGACGAACCATCGGCATGACCCAGGAAAATCAATGGATGGGATCTTATGGAGGCTCACCAATTTGTTCCTAGCCACCTTAATAGCTTAAGGGGCTATACTTCCACACAACACTTCAGTTGGAGAATCTACAACTAGCTAGCTGTTCCCAAGCAAGCGTGTCAAAATTTAAGGTCATGTCATTTTCATACTGTAGCAGGCAATCCAATTTGGAGTTTACCCGTATGGTTCCTGTCTCAACATGTAGGATACCTTCAATATATGCGGAAACCATGGTTACCTGGTTTTTACATCTAAATATGCATGATATAGTGAGTGGTAGTTCACCTGATTTTTTTTCCTTCAACCGACTCTAGAATCTGCCACGCCGCTCTTGGCTGCCCACTCTCGGAGCCTGTGTGGTTCTCCGACGCCCTTTCCGGTGCCGGCGTGGTGGAGGCGAGGTCTGGCAGAGAGCATCACAGGATGCACCTTGGGAGGCTGATACGAAACATAGGGAAACTGCTTATTGAATCAAGCAAACTTGATATTCTATCAGAACAAATGGCTGTGGATCAAAATTTAAGAATCGGGGACGGTAAATGTCCGTCACTTTTAGTATCAATCATCCAATTTGAAGGGTGCGCGATCTTGACCCATAGCCAAATGGAACATACAATCTTGATATGTAGGAATAGAATAGAACTGTTTTGGGGGGGCATGTCTGAAAAATGAACGGAGAAAACAAAATGGAACTGGCTTGTAGCCCCTCATGACTGGAACATGATGCGAGATAGTGGGTTGTAATGGGAGAAACGTCATGGACTAGCCCCTGTGTGCTTATATTTCTTTCAGGGATGACTTCTTGAAACGTGCATCAACCATCTCAAGGTTTTGTCGTCGATGCTAGTTTGTAGACGCTCTTATTCCTTGTTCTGGTTCCTGTTTACGGTTTGGTTCTTGTTTGTCCCTTTGAATGTCATTATGGTCTCCGTTGCTCTTCTTTTGTTGCTGCTTTCATGGCTCCTGATTGTGTTTAAGGGCTCTATCAGAAAACCACCCCTGGCAGCCGAACCTGCAGGATCTCGGCCCGCGCCCTGCGCACAGCCGGAGACACCACCATCTCCATACCCACCATGTTCTCTGGACTGGGATCCAAACCTCATAGCGGTCATAGCGGCTTGCAGAAGACTTGTGGCATGGCACGGAACTGGAGGTGGGAAGTCCATCCTGGGACCCCTCTCCTCATCCGTGTCTGGCCAGTCTCCCCCGCCAGGTTCCACCATTTCGTCGATTGGAGCCCCACACCGGACCGCACTACCGGAGCCCGGCAGGTCGAATCCAAACGTCCAGGGTTTGCCATCACTTCGAAGGCATAAGGCGAACGCTGCTACTGCTGGTGGTGATCGAGAAACACCTTCGGAGGAAAATAAATGATCGCTTTGAAAACCACCCGTTGGGTCCACAGCTGACATTTCCAGTTTGTCCCCCCTCAGATTCAACTGCTGTAGGTCTAGTTTTTGTCCCATACTGCTTGTTGTCTTTGAAACAGCACAAGGATCCAATCTACGAATCAACATCAGCCAATGTCCACCACCCAAGCCATCCAAGCCATCCAAAAACCCCAGGATGCCGGACTATGCGATAAGACCCATCATCAAACACCTGTGTCACTGTGGCCTCCAACCACATATCCTGAGGTGTGGGGCATGCCTGCATTGTCACGTGGACTCAAAAAACAAATCAAGGCAAAGGCATCTGTGCATATGTGCACATACATACATTACATTACATTACATTACATTATATTATATTACATTACATACATACAGACAGACGCACACACTAGACAAGAATGGATCATTATATGATCCGGCAGGAACTGAATCCTGAAACATGCAGATTAAGTACGAAACACTGAAATTAACAATGCATCCTACGAATAATAGAAGTACTTCAGAATGGTCATAGGGTTCAGAATCGACGTCGAAAAGAATGAATAAACCAGTAATAATACCATCGGCGAAGAATAACGTCGGCGAAACTTAGATGAATACCATCGGCGACGATGTTGTCGGCGATCATGTAAACAAAATAATACATAGGTGCTTTCTACGTCCTTGCTCTGAGGAAGGTTCTGATGCAACTGAATCAATAGTAAAGGACCAAAAGTAATTCCAGATTGCGACAACAGTGCAGCAAATTGTATAAGATTGTGGTTGGGGTTCTTAGCTTGGCCCCTTGCTATGTCCGAAAAAAAGCAGGTACGTGACAAAGGCGTCCCTTCGTCATATCACAGCAAATGATGAAGCGTCTTCGTTGAGTGGTGACTTCATCATTGCTCACCACTCCCCTGCAAATTAGTGAAAACCAATCAGAAGTTTTACATCTGTTCAGATGGTACACACACACACCTCGCATGTAGCGAGGTTGGTTTTTTGGAAGAACTTCGCAGGCGGAATCGGCAATACACCAGTGAAAATGAACCTGTAAGAACCTAATGCACAAACGGGCGATCACTTCAATCAGAAGAGGAATTCGGAGCTTGTAGAAGGACTTCCATAGCATCGTGGAAGCTCATGCGTTCAACCATCGCCCAAGTCTGATCGAATTCCCCAGATGCCGTAGCAGCCTTCAAGGTATCAGATAGATCTTTGGCTAATTCATGGATCCGGGTGGTCAGGCTCGGTTCATCTCCAGGAGATGTCGTCTCAATGGGCACATTGTGAAAAGGATGGTGTCCGTGTACAAGGGGAATCTCAAAATGATGTCGCCAATAGTCCGCTGTGCGCAGGGACCACTCCCAGTTGCCCGAAAGACCATAAAAATAGTGTTCAGGGTCACGACATCGGGAATGCCCTAACAAGGGGATTTCTTCAATGAATAGCTCCCTGGTGTTGTTGGAGTGGGTAATGACCTTGAATTGGATCTGGTGAACCACGCGAGAAGAGAATTGAGCACAATGGAGGTAGTTGTGTGTAGAACTTGACTCCGTCGGAAAAGGAACGCCAGGAGGTGCTGGTCCTGAATATGTATCAGAATGGGCCATAGTACCCGTGTCAGGAGCCGTACTGTCATTGACCAAAGGTGCCGACGTAGGGCTGGTAGTAGTGTCGGGAGGGCCTGAGTGACATAGTGCAGAAGTCTGGGCGTCTGATACTTGAACTGGGTTGGTAGGAGCGAGTCCACGGGTAGGATTCGAAGGCCAAGACAAGCCCGCCACGGTCGCGTCTCGTTTGTGTTCCATGGGTGAAACAGTTAGAAATGCGAGAAATAGTGCAACAGCGGCTGAGGCATCAAGAATTGCAAATATAAGCCAATCACGAAAAAGATAACATTCACAAAGAAAAAAATAAAAGTGAAGTCCAGTCCCCAATCAAGCGGTTCAATTACGGCGGAGAAGCGACAGCACAAAGTCAAATAAAGTAGGAATCAAAGAATCCTGTGTGTTGGTGAGGAGTCAAGGGAGAGTGGAAAACCCTGCAGTATGGTCTTTTTTGGCCGGCAAGCGTATCAGGGCAGGATCACACCGGAGCTAATTTTGTAGCATTGCAGACGTAGTACAAAAGGCTGTGTGGTACCCGGAATGAGCAAAGAGGATTCGCGGGAATTGTACTGCCGAAGTCGCCATTCAGGTCGGTATTCCTCCAAAAGCTGCAAGACCGTCATATCATTGGAGACTTGGACTGTATCACCGTCCAGGTCGCAAAAGCGAAACTCCAAATTCGAGGGATCAATTTGGATGTCCCATTGGGACCTCAATCTTTTGGAAATACAGAAGCGTAGTTCGGCAATTGGGATGAGGCCGGCTTCAACTGGTTCCATCTGACGTGACCAGGTAAATAGAGCCTCCAGTTCGTAGCCACTAACATTTCTGAAATTGGAGCTGGCCATAGCCATGTAGTGTTCACGGTCAGGCTCGCTATGATGAGTCAATGCCTGTAGAGGAGAGAAGTCAACCAGGATAAGAACAGGTCGGTTTGGAGGAGGGTTTGCATCACCAGGAATGCCTCGATGTCCAGCAAACCATCCAATGGTTCGTGTACCCAGCGGTGTCTCAATCGTTGATGTAGCGCGATATGGATTGGGTCGAGAAGAACGAGCCATGGCATCTAATGTCGAGTGTCGAAGATAAAGCGGAAAGCCCAAGCTGCAGAATAGGTGATTAATGACCAAGGAATAAAGCTCAAAGTGTTGAAAATTGAAGAGAAACGGGTTACCTAGAAAGTGGTCACAAAAAGACGGTAAAGCCCTGTTCTTTTCCGGTGCCGACAAATAATGTGGTGTATTACACACTGGAGTCTGACATATCCATCGGGTCCGTATCGTTCGCATCCAGTGGACCTTGTACTTGTTGAGGAGGGACGGTAGGCCGAGTGAAATGTAAAGTACGTTGTAATGTTGCCGGTGGTGACGAAGGTGGTGTAGACCGCCATGGTGGCCAGTATAAGGAGGTGGTAGTTCCTTGAGAGTGATGTTGCGCAGAGCGTCCCCAGCATGACTGCAAAATATAGAGTTGGTCCGGTATTGCTTCATACGGTTGGGAAACATAGACATTGGAGTGTTCAGGGTGTGGTAGAACAGGAACGGCAGTAGTCGTAGAGGAGGAGGAGGATGATTGAATTGGTACGTCATAGTGTCGGCGCCAATGATTAGCCGTGGTACGTAGAGTCGCCTGATCAGTGGTGAGGTGCATGTTCTTCAGAAAGGTTTCCACAGGTTTCCACGTTTCAATACCATCCATGGTCCTTTCCACGACCCAAAGTTCATCCGGACGGTTAGACAACGGGTAGTTCAGCTTCTTGATGAATATGGAATGAACAGTTGTCGAGGTCGGGATGGTTCGTGCTTCGCGAGGGATATACGATACCGAAGTAGGATCATCAGGAGGTAGATGTGGAACAGGGCCATGTAGGGATGTAGGTGGGGAACGGTGTGAAGCCGATCGAGCAGTATCATCCGTGTTGGAGGTCATCGTGTACAACAACAATAATATGGTTTCGGAATACGCTGGACTGAAGCCAAAGAGCCATGAGAAAGGTCAATGATGACGGGATGAATAACGAACATCAACAAAAGGAAAAGAAAAGAAAAGAAAAGAAAAGAAAGAAGTAAAGGAGACCAAGGAAAACCAAACCCAGGATGGCGGACCTCATAACGAATGTTTTTCCTTTTTCCTCATAGATGTGAGCATCGCCAAGATCTATTTGGAAAACTAATCACTCGGCCGCCTTAGTATATCTGGTGGCCGTGATGAATGGATGCCCACGGGGAATCACTTGGACATGTACAGCGAAGCCTGTGTCTTGTGCATCTGGATGGGGTGTCAGCAGCAAAGGTGAACACTCACGGGTCGTGAAGGCATCGAGATGTTGGTGAGTCTTCCATGACGGATAAAACCAGTTCAAAACGTCCAGAAGACAATGAGGAAGGTCATCAAGCATCTGAGCTCCTTGATCGGTGTCGATCATCATGTAGAAGTCGGAAGCTGGTAGGTGTATCGACCAGCGTTGCAGCAGCGTATCGGTGACTACTTTTTTGAGGTCGGAGACAAAGTGACTGCGAGCATAGTCCGGGTAGATCACCTTGAACGTCTGGAACAGGCTATCATAGGTGGCCGTAGGAAGGTTGCCCGCTACCTTGGGGGTCAAGATGTTGTAGTAAGGGTTGCGGACGGCCAGTTGCTGCATCGGCTTCAGGTCCAATTGGAAAATAACGGGTTGGTGGGGTGTCGAAGGCGGAGTCCGATTGGGTGGATGCTGAAGTGACGAGGAGCCCATAGCGGAGGACGATGCCCGTGTCGGAGAGCGTGAGCGTCGTGTAGGTGAGATCCTCTCGTGGGACATAGCTCGCAGTTGGCAATAGCGGTCCAGGTGGATGCGGAGAGACATAATAAATGGCTGGCGGGTTGTGTGATACGACGTGTCAAAATTCAATGGGGCAACCACCCCCATGGTTCAGAAGATTAACGAGAAGAAAAATTCCAGAAGGAAGGTCAAATGATTGGTAAAGCTGGGATACAGTGCCGCAAACGACCTTTTCCTTTTGGTCCGCATATGGCGTAGGTCAGCCCAGTTTGTCTTTGATCTTATTCCACATAGAGCGAACATCTTCCTCGGACTTGCCCATCTTGGTCGAGATCACTTTCCATGAAAATCGAGATTTCTCGTCAGCCTTCAAGGTGCGTAGTTTCTGTTTGTCTTCGGAAGTCCAGAGTGACAGTGGGCTG